GGTGAGTGATGATTCCACAATGGTCTTACCACCATGCTCAAGACAGACGACTGGCAGCAGCACTACCCGAACCTGGTGCGGCTGTGGGTGGCGGTCGCGGTCCTGCCGTTGAGCAAAGTCGAATGCGAGCGCGACTTCTCGCGGCAGAACGTCATTAAGTCCTGGCAGCGAGGCAGCCTCAAAGATGCTCGGCTTAGTGACTTAATGTGCATGTCGCTGCTCCGTTACAAGCCCAACTGGGACGAGATTGTTGAGATTTGGCGTAACTACAAGAAGCGGAAGCCGCTCAACACCTGCAACATCGCTAGGCAGGAGGCAGATAAGAGGCGTCGGGGGAAGGAGGAGGCAGAGGCAGCAGACCAGGCCAACCCTGTAGACCTAGATGATGAGGAGGATGTAGGTGCAGCAGCAGACGGTGGTGATGAGGATGCGATGTGGTATTAGTGGTTGTTTGTATGCAATTGCTGATAGTGTTCGCTTGCTGAACTATAATATATCAATCTGCCTCTTAATTGTTCTCAACACTGATGAGAAAGTTTTTTTAGAGACGACACTGATTTTTCAGGGTGTTTTCATACCACGACCCTAACAGATAGTTTTTTTTTTTTGGACCAACACTGACCAGAAAGTGTTGACAAAAATCAATCTGAGGCCCTGATCGTATCGCCCCGGATATAGGCGCCGTCCGATTAAAGGCGCCGGCGCTTCTATCTGGAGCATGGCGCTTATGGCCGTTCCTCGATTATAAGCGCCCCCTTAGAAAACATTTACTTATTATAAGCGCACATGTAGTTTTAATTTAAATTCTTGCTAAAAACAGTAACGAATTTTATTTTTGCAGCGAGTCAGATTTTAATTTCGCTTCATTCGACTCGCGAAGACCTGACTCGCTGCGCGTCCAGTCAGGATGTGTTGGCGATGACGTGTCTTTGCCTGTGTGTGAACCCAAAATATCGCGTGCGCGAGATTCTGGTTTATGACGCTAAAACATTTCGACTCGGTTGAAATGGCAAGAGGGAAATGAACAATTTGGTACTCTAAATATATAATTTCGTATTTGTCATTATATAAGCGCCGTCGCTTATGCCCGAAACTCAATTAGAAGCGCCCCCCCTAAAAAAAAACGATTTTATTATAAGCGCACCTGCGCTACTATCCGGGGCCATACGGTATGTGAGAACTGTCAGAATCCCAGCCACTAACCACTAGGATAAAAGGGCTTGTTTATGTAGCGGGTGAGTGCGCCCATAACCCCCCAGGCCGCCGTGCCTGTAACCCTTCCCTAGGATCAATCGGGGATCTCCAGTGGACCTCTGACATCCCGCACTGGGATGCCCGAGGTGCACACACCGGGATTCGAACCCGAGACCTTCGCTCTAATACCATGTCAGAATCCCAGCCACTAACCACTGGGATAAAAGGGCTTGTTTGTGTAGCGGGTGAGTGCGCCCATAACCCCCCAGGCCGCCGTGCCTGTAACCCTTCCTTAGGATCAATCGGGGATCTCCAGTGGACCTCTGAGAAGAACAAGATACGTTTAATTATAATAAAAAGATACAGAGTTTATATAAGATTACAAGAATGATATAAAACCGCTTTAGGATTAACTGTTTATTGTAACCTCTGATGTGATTCGATACAGCGACGACTCGGGTAACTGCTCAATGTCGAGTTCAGTTATTTGTCCTTGCTGTCGCGCTGTCTCGGCGAGTCAAAGGTCGCTGACCTTTGACCTTCGCTTTAACTTCCGCTTTCGACAACCGCTTTACTGTAGCTCGGTTGACTCGGTGTTGTTTCGCTTCGATGTTTTTGTAGTGCTTCAATATTTCAGAATTGCGTTGCATGTTTCCAACACTCCCCTTTGCTTCTGGAACGTCGCCACCCTCGAGGTTGGTGACGTGGCCTTGTCCAGTCAGCAGCATGCAGTACTCGAACTTCTGCTTTCCGAGTTTCTTGGTCAAGTAATCTGCTGCCATCTCGGATGTGGGGTAGTAGGATAGTTCGAGTCTCCCCTTTTCGATTTCGTCTTTCACGAAAAAGTATCGTAGAGCGATGTGCTTCGTGCGGTTCGCGAACCCATTCTTGTTCGCTATGCGAATTTCCTATTGGTTGTCGCAGAAGAGGGAGAAGCTGAGAAACCGGGCCAGCTTTGCTTCTTCCATCAGTTCGCGAGGGTACAACCCTTCTTTGGTGGCTGTGCAGAGTACGATATACTCTGCTTCAGCGGAAGAGAGCAATTAGTTCTTGTATCCTCGACTGCCACGAGATAGGACCAACGGGCTCGAGTCGGTAGATGTAGCCCGTGCGCGATCGCCGATTGTCAGAATCGCCGGCGTGGTCGGCGCCTACGTTACCGATTAGTTTTGGCGCCGTAGATCCAGTCATGTGGTAGGTTAGCCCGATCATGGGAGTGCTGACGAGGTAGTGTAGAGCGCGGTCGAGTTCCGCCATGTGTTCAGCTTCAGGTCTTTTGAGGTAGGTGGCGAGTTGGCTCGCCGAGTAGGACAGGTCCGGTCGGCAGGTGACAGCTGCGAAGAGCAAACATCCGAGCTTCCTTTGATAGTCGCGTAGGCCGGCAGGTCCAAGTGGGTTGGACTCTTCCTGATGATTTCCCGTAGTTTAGCGGTAGGGCGTGGAGATAGCGGAAGGCGTTAATCCGAAGCGTTTGGCGATGGTGTCGGCGTACTTCGCGGCGCTGAGGTAGATTGCATTCTCCCCGTCTAGGATGTTCAATCCCAGGTACTGAGTTACGGTAGCTGAGACCGTGAGGGAGAGATCCTGCTGTAGCTCCCCTTCGAACCAGGTGGTGATGCCGTCGGTCGAGCCGATGTAGAGCAGATCGTCCACGTAGACAATAAGCAGGATGCAGTCCGTTCCTTTGCTGAGTCGGTACATGCCTTGATCGTGTGGGAGTTGTAGGAATCCGATGCGGATTAATTGCGCATGTAGGTACTGCTGCCATAGCCGCGGGGCTTGTTTAATCCCGTACAGTGATTTCACCAACTGGGGTCTTTGATGGACCCGTGCGGCTGCTCGACGAAGATTTATGTGTCGACTGGGGCGTAGAGAAAAGCGTTTGTTACGTCGATTTGACGGAGCTTCTTTCGTTCCATGGCGACGACGGCGAGAAGAATCCGAAGTGAGGTGTGTCGGCTGACCGGGGCGAATGTCTCAGTGATGTCTCGTTCGTGCTGTTGATCGAAGCCACGCACGACCTGAATTTGTCGATCGTTCCGTCTGCCTTGGTCTTCACGTGGAACACCCATTTTCCCGTGAGAATTGTTTTGTCGCGTGCTACCGAAACTGGGACCATCTTCCACGTGTTGCGATCTGCTAGGGCTTTTAATTCTCTGTCCATCGCTTCACGCCATTTTTCCGTGTGTTCCCCCACCAGTGCTTGCTGAACCGTAGTAGGCTCTCGTGGTGGCGATGCTCTATGGACGGCAGAGACTAGGCCGAGTTTTTGCAGTCCACTCTGTGAGAGTCGGGGGGGATTTGCGTCCTCGGGATAAACTGCTTCGTCTATCGCTTCTAGGTCAGGTAAGAAATTGGGGCCGATACGTTCAGAGTCGTTGGTGTTTACTAGCTGGGGTGTAACGTAACCGTTGTCGGCGAAATCGTATTAAACTTCGGCGTTGACGCTTTCGCGAGGGTTGTCATCATCTATCGGGATGGGTACCGAGCAATAGGGCAGAGGTCCGGCTTCTTCCGAAGCTCCGTCCACGTTATGCTCATCCGAGTCAGCTTCCTCTGCTAACGAGGCGAAAGCTCGGTCGCCACGGAAGCCACCTCTGGGGTCTTGGTTTGCCTCCAGGTTGGCTAGGTACGTATGCAGTGTGAGTCGCTCGTAGAAGATAACGTCACGTGCTGCTACTGTTTCCTTCGAGTGGACGTCGAAAATCTTCCATGCGTTGTAGTGTTTTTCGATGCCCAGGTGTGGTCCCCACTTTGCACGTTGTGAAAATCGCCCGGCTCGTGCAGTGTGCGGTCGGTACTGTACCATGCAGCCGTACACTCGTAACATTTTGGTTTTTTGTCGAGGGTGACGACGAAAGCAAGTTGTGCAGCATGACAGCATGGTCCATTGCTGCAGGCCACTGGTGGTCGGGCAGTCGCATGCCATGTAGGAGTTTGCGCATGGTGTTCTGTAGGGTCCTGTTCATTCTTTCTGCTACACCTTGCTGTTGATGGGCGTAGGGAAGGGAGATGAGTCGCTTGATGCCTCTCTCTGCCAAGTACTGCTTGAACCTCTGTGACTGATATTCTCATCCCCCGTCTGATTGGAAACTTTTCAGTTTCTCGCCAGACTCTCTTTCTGTTACCGGGAGCCACGCGACGAAGGCTTCGAAAGCCATGTCGCGGCTTGGAAGGTTGAGGTGCCAGACGTATCTGGTGGCGGCGTCGATGAAGGTGATCATATAGTTGAATGCTCCTTGTCCGCTCTCTCGAGCGTACGTAATATCACTTTAGCCTTTCTCCAATGGTGCGTATGCTGGCGTGCTTGGGTTGTGATGGGAGACGAACGGCTGATGAGGTAGGTTGGCTTCGAGGCAGGTAAAGCAAGTTTCTCGAGCTCGTTGTAGTTCTCTTCCGTCGGGTAGTAGTAACGAATCTTTGTCGAGCACTTCTGCCCTGATCGTGTTGTTCAGTGTTGTGTTGCTGGGATGGCCTAATCTTTCGTGCCACAGTGATTCGCTGGTGCGGTGTCCTGGTGACCTTCTGTACAGGTCGGAGTTGGAGTAGAAGCTGGCGGTGACGTTGGCACTTTGGTGGATGGCGCGTGGGGCGGGAGTCAACTTTCGCGCTGGAGTTGGTGTCGGTTCCGCGAGAAGAAGTGGTGCCGTTGAAGAACTGGCGACAGGGAGGTTTGATGGTGGTGCTGGTGCTGCTTCTGATGTTGTTCCTACTGCTGTTCCTGGTGTTGTCTCTGCTGTTGTTGTTGTCTGTTCTATAACAGCTAACACTCTTGTTCTTTCTGCTTCAGGTATGGTGTGCGAATATCAAAAGCCTCCGGGGCTGAAGTCGGGGTCAAGATCTGGTGGGTGCGTCCAGGTGGTGAAGCTTATGATGCCGTCGCTGTCGGCGGTGCCTAGATCTTGGACGAAGTCGAGGACGAAGACGTCGTTTTTCAAGACCGCCTTTCCGATGTAGAGCCCGCCTTTCCTGTGGTACAGCTTGAATTCTTGGGTGGTGCTGTCGGCCTTGAGATGAATACCCTTCGCCATGAGTTGGCTCACGCTGAGTAAGTAGTAGCCGAGTCCTTCTGCAATTAGAACTTTGGACATTTTCAGGACGATGTTGGTGTCAAGCGATTGTAACTGAACCACTCCTTGTCGTCGTGTGCGCAGGTTCTGGTTGTTGGCGACTGTAATTACAACTTCCCGGTTGAGGCGCTACTCCCGTTGAACGAAGCGGTTCGAAGAACACATATGTTGTCCGCATAGGCTGTCCAAGAACCACGTGTCCTTCCCGGATGGTTCGCTTTGGGCGATGGCGGCGTACGTCGGGTTCGGTTCCAGCAGCTCGCGCCGAGGTGTGCGTTCATCAAGTACCTCTTCTGGTGAGTAGGTGGGAAGAGATCCAGTGACACGTGAGTCTGTTCGTGTCATGTAGCTGACGATGTTTCTTGTTTCTTGTGCAGGTCGTGGTGTTGCCTTCAGAGGGTGTGTTTGGTTGGACGGCTGCGTTGAAGCTACTTGACTGCTTGAAGGTCGGAGCTGACGTGGCGGTGCTGGTTGCTGGCTGTTCGGGCAGTTGACGCGCGAGTGCCCTGAAGTTCGACAGAGATGGCATAACGGTGGTACGAGTTTCTGTCTTTGATGATTTTGGTTGTTGTTGTTGTTGTTGTTGTTGTTGTTGTTGTTGTTGTTGTTGTTGTTGTTGTTGTTGTTGTTGTTGTTGTTGTTGTTGTTGTTGTTGTTGTTGTTGTTGTTGTTGTTGTTGTTGTTGTTGTTGTTGTTGTTGTTGTTGTTGTTGTTGTTGTGCATCTGAGTGTTGGATGCGAATTCTGGTATTGACGTTTTCTTCTTATGTCATTCTTTATGCAGGTCCATGTCTTGCTGTTCGGCATGAAGCTTTGCGCAGAGGGTTGCTTCGGAGATTCTCCCGTGGCGTCGAAGAATGGCTCGCGTTGAACGCCACTGGGGTCGGAGACCTGCAAGGACAACGGTGACAAAGGCGTCTTCGGATAACGCGCCGCAGCATTGATGGAGTCTGTCGCGCAGACCACGGTATTTGCTGATACACGCCATTGCCTTTTTGTCGGATTGCATTTGAACTGTTGTCAGCTGCGCCATGAGACGACTCTGATTTACACTGTCCTGTGCTTGATACAGGTTCTTCAAGTGACTGTATGCGAGTTCGACGGAGTTGCCGTATGCGCGATAAGACCGGATATTTTTGCTGCTCGCTCGCCGTGATATTTTGCAGGAGGATGGTATATGCCATCAGCGACTGATATGTATACTGTTGTTTGTCGTACTGTGTCGGATATGGCAGGGAGTCGTCAAAGAAGCCGATGATTTGAGCTCCTTCCGTCATTAGCTCGAACTCGAACGACCAGGAATAAAATCCTTTCTGTCAAATGGTGTTGTTGTCTGCAGCTTTAAAACGTGTGCGAACTGTGACTGCATCTGAAGCGTATCCATTGGCTTAGGTTCTTGTCCAGGTTGAAGACGGTTTGGCATGAAGCTGATGGAGCCGCGCTGTGGCTCGCATGGCGCAAAGGTAGGCTGTTGATTTCCTCGCGCGAATGAAGAGCCATCGAGGCTCATTGGCATAACTCCATTGTTGTTGTTGCTGTTGTTTGATAGCGCACGCATCGCTTGTTGTTGCTCGTAGAAGGACATGAAGGAGAAAAACTTCTCCATCATGCTTGGGTCGAAGCCTCCTCCTAGGTTCGCAAGAGCTTCAGTGAACTCTGCAGCTGGTCCTTGGGTAGTGCCGCCCTCTGTATATAGTCTAAAGACTGGGGTAGGGGTAGTGCCGGGGGATCCAGTAGATGACCCCCTTTCCTTCTGAGTAGCCATGTCTAGCGTTGCTTAAATTGAAGGAGTTTAAGAGAGATTATCGAAATTGTAGAACCTTGTTCTGACTTGGTCTCATACCATGTTGGGCTGAGAAAAGCCCTTAGGATCCTTTTCAGCAACTAAGGCTCAAAAGTTGAAGTAGCGGAAGTGTTCTAAGATAAAGCCTTGAACCACCTTGTACTGGTATGTGAGAACAAGATAAGTTTAATTATAATGAAAAGATACATAGTTTATATTAGATTACAAGAATGATATAAAACCGCTTTAGGACAAACTCTGTTCTAGTTCATTCATTCCTGTTCAGTTATTTCTGACATGGTTTCAGAGCAGGTCCTTCGCTAGGACTGTTCTTAGGGCCCACCGACTTACCTACCTGCTTACCTTCGCTTCTTTTCGGCCCCGATGGCCCCGTCGATCTAGCACGATCTAGCGGCCCTGCGGCCCCTTCGAATTTTTTTTTTTAGCGGCCTCTCACGGCCCCCGTCGCGTCGCCCCTTAGCGCCCCGATCGGCCCCGTCACGCCGCCCGCGAACCGCACAGCGCGCCGCGCTCACAGCCCGCGAACCGCCCACGCACAGCCCGCGAACCGCCTGCGCAGCCCGCGACCAGCCCGCGCAGCCCGCGCACAGCCCGCGAACTGCCCGCGAGCAGCCCGCGACCTGCCCGCGAACCCCCGCGAGCCGCCCGCGACCCGCTTACGCAGCCCGCGAGCAGCCCGCGCAGCCCGCGCTGAGCCTGCGCGGCTCGTGCGCTGACCGCCGCCGGCCCGCACGCTGCTCGCACTGCTCCCGGCCCGCCGCTGCTGAGCCCGCAGCCGCCCGCGCACCGCCTCTGCTGAGCCCGCCGCCGCCCGCGCACCGCCGCTGCTGCGCCCGCTGCCGCCCGCGCACCACCGCTGCTGAGCCCGCAGCCGCCCGCGCACCGCCGCTGCTGCGCCCGCCGTCGCCCGCGAATCACCGCTGCTGAGCCCGCCCCTGCTACGCCGGCTCTCGCTGCCGCCTGCTGCGCCTGTGCACCACTGCATTCCTACTACTACACTTTCTGCTACTACTGCTTGTGCGCCACTACAGTCCGTAGGCCCCACCGGCCCCGCTGACCCTGCGCACGCCTTTTCAGTGACTTTACTGCTTCTACTACTGCCGCTGTCGCTATGGCTAGTCCTCCTGTTCTAGCTTTCGACGCCGAGGGCCGTCCGGTCAAATTCGAAACCTGGCTAGATGACCTGCACCTTTTCCTACAGCTCACTGCCAAGGAAGATATTACACTGTACGACCACGCTCTCGGCCATGCGACCGCCCCACTCGCTACTGCCCCCCCAGCTGAGCGCTCACAGTGGCAGACCCGTGACGCGCACGCTCGCTTTGCTATTCGCAACTCCCTGCCGCTAGATGAGCGCGAGCACTTCGGCCAGTGCAAGACTGCTAAGGACCTCTACACAGCTGTAGTGGCCCGCTACTCCTCACCCGCTTCTGCCACACTAGGCCGCCTCACTCTCCCCTACCTGTTCCCCGACCTAGCCTCCTTTCACACTGTCGCAGACCTCATCACCCACCTTAAGACTAGTGAGGCTCGCTTTCGCGCTGCCATGCCTGATGAGTTCCTCGCTAGCAACCCCCCCCCGCTCTGGATCACTCTCTACCACGTTGTCACCCGCCTCCCTGACTCTCTGCGCCCTGTCAGGGACCAGTTCCTCTCTCGCTCCCCCACTGAGCTCACCATAGCCCTCCTCGAGAAGGAACTGCTTGCAGCCGAGGCTAGTATCGTCGCTGTAGGCACCTCTCGTGGCGACCCCCGCGGCCCCTTCTTCGAGGGGTGCTCCCCTTCCCCCCTCCTCCCCTCTGTCGCCTCTGCTGCTGCTGTCGACCTCCTTGGTGCTGAGAAGGTCGGGGCTGCGTCTGCTTCAGGCGGACGACGCAGGGGCAGGAGTGGCAGGAGTGGGGGTGGTGGCGGAGGAGGTGGGGGTGGAGGTGGTGGCGGTGGAGGTGCGACTGGAGAGGCTAGTGGCGGCGGTGGTGGAGGTGACAGCGGTGTTGGGAGTGGTGACAGGGGCGGAGGTGGCAGCGGAGGCGGAGGTGGTCGTGGCAGCGGCAGGGGTGGAGGTGGCCGGGGCGGAGGCGGAGGCGGAGGGGGTGGTGGTCGTGGAGGCCCGGGGGGCGGTCAGAGTCAGCAGCCTTCCCCGACCCTTCAGGCCGCCCGTGAGTGGTATGCGCGGCGCAGCGTCACCTGCCAGTACGTTATTCGTACAGGTGACCGCACTGGCCAGATGTGTGGGGGGCCGCACCAGACGGAGCGCTGCTTCGCCCGCCTCAACGATGCGTGGCGCACCCAGTTTCCTGGTGGGGGTGAGCTGCCGCGCTGGGCTGATCTGCTCAGGAAGGGTGTTGATATTTGGGCACTTGACTTTGATGCTATTCTCACTGCCATGTATGCGATGTCTATTAGTGGAGAGGGTGCTCAGTACTTGCGTGTTCCGCCCGACCCGGGCATTCAGGCCAGCCCCGCTGCTGCTCTAGGTGCTAGTGTGTCTGCTTCCACAGGTACTACTGCAGCTGCTGCTCTAGGTGCTTGTGCGTCTGTGCCCCCTGGTACTGAGTCGACTGCAGCACTGCACACCTTCACACTGGACTCAGGTGCTTCTCGCTCTTTCTTTCGTGACCGCACTGTCCTTGAGCCTCTAGCTCGGCCGGTTGCTGTCTCTCTTGCTGACCCCTCTGGGGGTCCGGTCCTTGCGACCTCCTCCACCACCCTTCCGTGTCCAGCGGTTCCGTCCGGCACACTCTCAGGTCTCTACCTCCCCTCGTTCTCCACGAACTTGGTGGCAGGTAGTGCGCTCCAGGACTCGGGTGTTCACCAGTTCACCCCTGCCTACGAGCGTGTGACTCACTGCACGTGTGCTCGGACGGGCCGCCACCTGGCTACTTTCACTCGAGAGCCGGGGTCTGACCTGTACACACTGACCACTGAGTCCCCTCAGGTAGCTGCGTCTGCGTCAGCGTCAGGTCAGCTGTCCGCCCCCTGCTCGTGTCGCTCTCTGGCGAACGACACCGTCCTCTGGCACCACCGCCTTGGTCACCCGTCTGTGCAGCGCCTGCGGGCCATGCACAAACGGGACCTTGTTGCTGGTCTTCCCAGGGTGCTCCCTCCCCTTCCTGACTCCCCTGCTCCTGACTGCATTCCCTGTGTCGAGGGGCGGCAGCGCGCCGCTCCTCACTCCTCCTCCTTTCCCCCGACGACCGCTCCCCTGCAGACACTCCACATGGACGTGTGGGGCCCAGCCCGCGTCCGTGGTCAGGGTCAGGAGAGGTACTTCCTGATAGTTGTTGACGACTACTCGCGCTACACCACGGTCTTCCCCTTGCGCGCCAAGGGTGACGTCCCTGGTGTTTTGATCCCCTGGATCAGCCGAGCCCGTCTCCAGCTAGGCGAGCGCTTTCACTCGGACTTTCCTGTCCTGCGCTTGCACTCTGACAGGGGTGGTGAGTTCGCCTCCGACCTCTTGGCAGCCTACTGTGCTGAGCACGGCATTGAGCAGTCGTACACGCTTCCGGCCTCTCCACAGCAGAATGGGGTTGCTGAGCGCCGCATTGGCTTAGTCATGGAGGTCGCTCGTACCTCCCTGACCCATGCGGCTGCTCCCCACTTTCTGTGGCCGTTTGCGGTCCGGTACGCAGCACATCAGCTCAACCTCTGGCCCCGTGTCTCCTTGCCGGAGACTTCCCCGACTCTACGGTGGACGGGAGAGGTTGGCGATGCGTCGCGTTTCCGGGTCTGGGGATCTCGAGCCTTTGTCCGCGACACGTCTGCGGACAAGCTCTCACGTCGCACTGTTCCCTGTGTCTTTCTTGGCTTTGTTCCCGACGCGCCTGGATGGCAGTTTTACCACGTCACCTCGCGCCGGGTTCTGGCCTCTCAGGACGTCACTTTTGACGAGTCCGTCCCCTTCTACCGCCTCTTCCCCTACCGCACTGCCCCGCTCCCCCCCCGCCTCTCTTCCTCGCTCCAGGTGCTGAGGTACCAGACCCCCTCCCCCCTCAGGGTGCCGCTCCCTCAGGTGTGTCCCAGGTAGACCCGGGTGAGCCTGTCGAGGTAGCTGTTGACTCGCGTCCTGCGTCTGGGGGTGCTGAGCCTGGGGGTACTGCGTCTGGGGGTGCGGAGCCTGGGGGTACTGAGCCTGGAGGTGCGGAGCCTGGGGGTGCTGAGCCTGGAGGTGCGGAGCCTGGAGGTGCGGAGCCTGGTGGTGCTGAGTTTGGACGTGCTGAGTCTGGACGTGCTGAGTCTGGGGGTGCTGAGTCTGGGGGTGCTGAGTCTGGGGGTACTCCACCTGGAGGAGCCCTCTCCTCCCAGCAGCTGCAGGAGAGGTACCTCGAGTACTGCCGCCTCCGGAGAGGTGCTTCTGGAGCTCGTCCCGGTACTTCCCCTCCTACCCAGGAGCTCCCCCCCATTCAGGTGATCCGCGAGTGGTACACGCGGCGCTGCAGTCTTCGTAGTGGTGCTCCTGGTGCTGCGGACCCGAGCGGTGGTGCTGTTGCTGGTGCTGAGGACCCGGACGCTGGAGCTGCTGCTGGTGCTGAGGACCCGGGCGTTGGAGCTACTGCTGGTGTTGAGGACCCGACCGGTGGCGCTGCTGCTGGTGCTGAGGACCTGACCAGTGGCCCTGCTGCTGGTGCTGAGGACCCGGGCGTTGGAGCTGCTGCGGGTGCTGAGGACCCGACCGGTGGTGCTGCTGCTGGTGCTGAGGACTCGGGCGTTGGAGCTCCTACTGGTGCTGAGGACCCGGGCGTTGGAGCTGCTGCTGGTGCTGAGGACTCGGGCGTTGGGGCTGCCACTGGTGTCCCTGCTGTTTCTGGAGACGCTGCGCGGCCGCGACCGTACTTCGTACCGCTCCTTCAGCAGGTTCTTGGTCAGGCTCCTCCTCTTAGTCCTCCTCCCTCCGTAGCGTGTCCTCCGCCTGTCCAGCCGCAGTCACAGTTACCGCCTGTCTCGCCTCTCCCTGCTCCCTCCCCTTACGCTGGTCCCACAGGAGGTCTTACAGAGCGTCGTGAGCCTGAGTCTCGTCCTGCGTCGCCTGTTCGTCCT